CGAATTTACTGATCATCAAGCAAACGCGCTACATTGACGACGTGGTGGAGCGCTTTAACCAGCAGGACGCCAAGGCTGTGGAGAATCCGTGCTAGTCGGGACTCAAGCTGTCGAAGCTTCAATCGCCGACCACGGATGCGGCAGAAACGAGATGCAGACGAAGCCGCTCCGATCGCTGATCGGGTGCCTGCTGTACATTACCACTTGTACACGCCCCGACGTTGCGTGCGTGGGGACGCAGTTGTCAAGGTTCTTGGAAAACCCAGGGAAACAGCACTGGAAGACGACCATCCGCGTTCTTCGTTGCCTCAAGACTACGAAGGCGATTCGGATCGTCTACCAAGGGGCACGAGCGAACTGAAGGTCGAGCACATACTCGGACGCGCATTGGGCGGGGATCATGGTTATGATCGGACAAGCGCCCGTGGTCTTCAAGTCCAAGTACCAGTGCACGGTGGCGCTGGGCTCGGCGGAGGCGGAGTACATGACACTGAGTCTGTGCACTCAAGACGTACTTTGGGTACGGGCGATGCTCAAGAACCTTGGTGATGAACAAGTGGGAGGGATTCGGATATGGGAAGACTACCAAGGGGCGATCGCGCTGGCGTCGAACGCCGGCTATAACGCAAGTACCAAGCACGTGGACTTTCGCATCACTTCATCCGGCAAAATCTGGCCAGGGAGGCTATTAACGTCAACTATATCGGCACGGAGAAGCAGTTGGCGGACATGATAACGAAGCCGCTGGGAACCAAGCTACTTCAGGTACTTCGCTCGGCGAGCGGAGTGCGCGCCAAGCCCGCTGCGCATTAGCAGCGAGTGGAAGTGTTGAAGTGGCACCGCGTAATGAGAGCTGGACGAGCCAAGGACTCATCGTTTGATGACGCGAAGGTGATCAATGATCTGGATGGCGCGTGGGGCACGCGCATGAGCTCGGCGAAGATAGGGAACTGACTCGACGAATGATGACTGGAATCGGCGATTCACGTATGGCTAGATCTGATTGTAGATAATGGGGTGAGTGCTGAATATGATTGGATCACATCCAAAACTCCCCCCGCGACCATTCATCTCGTCGGGGCGTCGCAGGAGAAGCTCGAGGGCGGCTGCTGCAGAGGCACAGATAACAAGAAGGGCGCACAGGAAGGTAGCTACGGACATGTAGGAAGGGTAGATTATGTAGCTGCTAACTAATTCACTTCGGCATTTGCCCTCCACGACTCAACATCATGGTTAATCATGGTACTCTGCTTGATACTTCTTGCAGCAGGGTTGCCACGCATTGTACGCAAAAAACTTTGACTCGTATAGGCTGCGTTATCAAACGCGCAGAAGATGGATTATAAGGTAGTGCCAAGGACGCGCAACTCAGGGCCTTTCCAGTACCCAGTACTTACGCTTGCTCAAATCAAAATGTGTGAGATGACTAGCTTAGAATGATACATCGTATATGCTCACTATCTACGATAATTTTTCCCTAATAATGGAGTACAAAAGCTAGCAACCTATGTGTCCCACGAATCTCTTTTTTTCAAAATAGCCGTGACTGTCATCCTGTATAGAATGATGCTCCCATGCTTCCCTCTATTCCGATGAACAATGCTGTAATATGTACATCACAGTTGTACCTCGTCAGATATGACAATTCGCTAATTTTTTTTTATTTCATCTAGACTTTGAGTCTGATTCCGCAACAATTTTATGTCCAGTCCTGCATTTGTGTGCAGGGATATATAATATTGTATATATATATTTTATATGATGTGGCCATCATTGTCAAATATGAGTCTGGATGTCTGAGCACATCTGTATCTGTGATAGTCAATCTGGCGCTGAACATCCGACAACGTCAAGTTTCTTCCTATAAATCTGATAGTGATGTGGGAGGAAGTAGGAATGTGTACACTATCATGCATTTGCGAAGGGATTGTGCTCACTTGCGTTGTTTGCGAGGTTGTTCATCTTGATGGCGGCCTTAAATTCTGTTGTAAGATGTTAGCTTGACCTCTAGACCTTCAAAAATTCTGTCGATAGTGTCCACTTGAGTATTAGACACGTCTCGTTCGCTTGTGCTCTGTCATTTCTGAAAGTAATATGCTCCTTTTGAATGAAGTATTCCTAAAACAGCGCTGCACGTTAAACCCTTGAGCGTTGTGTTTCAAATCATTCAAAGCGTTATATTGCTCTTGAATTATTTATTGAACAAATATAAAGGAGATTTTGATAACGAAACAGAAGGACAAGCTGCGGAGTTTGATGAGAATGACAAATGTGTGCCCTGTGATGCAATGAAGCGCTACTGCGCCTCTTAAATTATGTTAATGTTGCGCAACAATTTGTGGACGACAGATGTGTCTGTCATCTGAATACTACTTGTTCTGCTGAAATATGATGGGGTTAGAGTCTCTTAATAGTACGACCAAAAGATTAGTAGTTTAACGTGTAAAAAGCAATATACAGCAGAAATGTTAGCAAAAAGAATCACAAAAGTTTGAGATACACACTGCGTTAAAGAAACCTTATCAATAATTGTCTGACAACGCATTACTCCAATAAGAGCATATTTTTTCCAAATCAAGGGATCTATCGTGCTGCTCCTAAAGCTAGGAAACCTTACGCTCCAATTTTATATTTCATCGATGATATATGAACTCCTTGTAGGTCAGGCTTGATAAGAAACCTTTGCATAACCCCAATTAAGTTTTCCAGGGTTTCTATCTTGCGTAGTGCGAATAATCAATTTGATGACGTGTTGGCTATGTAGTGGGATGGAATACAAACGGTTAAAATCACCCAAAAAGCATTGCTTGATGTCGTGTTGGTGTTTCACTGCTCTCATTCGCAATGTGCTGTAGTTTTATATGTTTGTGAGATGTCTTTGGCAGCCAATTTTTGCACGCAAGACCGGCCACACCTTTCGCTCACCTGAAAGCTCTGGCTAGTTCTTGAAGCCACTGACACATTTTGCCTGATGACAACTCTCAAATTGTTCCACATTTGCTGCATGACATGCACACCGTTGAGTCAGACTTCATTAAGCGGTGTTCGTCTTGCCACCAGGTGACAGATGAAAGCTTACATTGATTTGGCGTAAACTCATTTCATCATGTATTGATGAAACGACCAGCCTTTTACTTTAACGAATTGCAGTAATACTTCACCAGTTAACCCTGAAGCTGAAGCCCGCAGATAGTTTTAGCCTTGACAACCAATCAGGGTACGACTAGTTGAATCTTAACAATCCGTCGAAAACAACGTGCTAGCATGTACAGGACAGACATCATGCACCGTTGAAATATCACGTCAGCAGTCCACTTAGTTCAGCAAGCCGTTTTACAAACCTTACACCTGCATCGATATGTAGGGCAGACAAGCATTTTCAGTACAGAAAGGACAAATTTTTGCTTCCCTTATTGCACTTCTACCATCTTCATGTTCTGATTCAACAACGTATTCCATCTAAGCCCATACTAACTTACCCACTACGCGGGGAGCAGAAAGGTCTATGTATTGCAAGTTCGAAATGTCCTCAAGTTTAAAGTGCCGCATCTTCACATCGCTACAGGAATTCATTAGCTTTTCGAGACTTCCGAGTAGAATCAGATTCGTCTACCGTTTTAATCCTAAGCTGGAGTCCACAAAGACATCGGAACCATTGATCGAACAGACGGACATATTCGAAACTTCATTTGGCGTATACGATTAGTTGTACTCTACTACGGTACCTCACCCTTGACGTTCTAGGTTTGAAGCCAAACGAATTGATAATGCATAATGAGCCTGTATCTTGTAGTTGCGTAACCAGGGTGTAGGACACTTACTTTATTTTTATTCCCATTGTCCATATATTCTATATCGCGGTTGAATTGCGAGTCGATTTTAGGTGCCTCATTTGTTTAATAACGCGAGTGTTGCGAGAGTGCCGATTTCAAACGTAGATGGTTATGTACTGAGCCTTTCCAAAAATCCCTGGCTCCAAAGTAATTGGCTCAAGTTAACACTTTTGTTTTCGGTTTGTCTTAAGCTGGTTTGTGATGTCAGAAACACTGACCCCGTTTCATAAAATCTAAAGCAGCGTATACGAAGTAAGCTGGATTGCTGCGAGGACTTGTGCTTTAATTTGGAAATGTGTGCAACATGTACAGAACAGCAAAAAAGCTAATTCTTACTGTCTAACTCAAGATCAGTTTAGTGTTTCCGTCACACCGAAAATATTACTATCAAATTTGACGAACATTTTTAAATTTCACTTCAATGCGTCTTTGCTTAGGTGGGGTATTTTCTTCCAGGTCGGCATAAGAAGCTGGTGATTAATACTTAAGTTTAATTATGCAGGCCATAAGTGAAAGAGATCCATAAGGGATGCTTTGTACTGCAATTGTGAAAAAGCAAATTCCCTGCGGCGACAAATGATCGTATCATTAACTTTGTTATAAAGGTTTTGCCGAGATGTTTTGGAATAGAGGTAAATGCGCAAAGTCAGTTTTTGGATTTTACTGTAAAGGCTTCTTCAAAAGATCAGTTATCAATGCCTCAGATGTTCGAAAACCCATTGTCAACAGATGTACTTCATCGGGAGAAGGTCGAGTTGATCTTCTAACACATTAGTGGCTAAAAGTACTCAGAATATCGTAGTCAGAAAAACCACATAGACGGACGAAAATCTCGTGAAGTGTTTACAAAGCGAATGGGTTACCAATAGAACAAAAGTGGAGAACAATGCTGTACCATATCCAGTCGTAACCAGAAGTGTTCATCGACCAATTTGCCGGTATTAGTAAAAGGGTCGTACTTGATTTATTCTAATTCCTGATGCTCAGCCTTTACATTTTAGTTAGCGACAGATTCGCAGCAAAAAATTACCTCCTTCGAATACTAAATTGTCGTGGCTGCATAAGTCTAAGAGAGACATGTTTTTAGTCCTTTTATGCAGATGTGTTAAATTAAAGTAAGTTTACGTATCTAAGAAGTCTAAGTTTACCCTTTTATAGAATGACATATCATTTAAAATCCGATAGTCTGCGATAACGAGGCTGGGGAGTCATGTAGTCAGTCCCATATTCCGTTAAAAGTAAAAAATTGGGATCATGCACTGTGTCAAATTGCTCGCCATTGATCGCCACTTGCGAAAAAGGCTGAACTCGCTCGTTAGGAAGTGATGGACTTTTGAGCTCTTGCATTGACCAAGTGGAGTCGAGCTCTTGTTCCATAGAGTACAAATCCACGTACGGGACAGCGTAATCTTCGACAATCGATCGTTCGGGATCAAAAAGCTGGGACGCAAGTGGATGTGTGGGGGCTACACAGACACGAAATATGTTATACTGAAAGAGATGGTACCCTTTACGCCACAACCGCTCGTCCAAGTCGCCACCATCGACCACTTTTCCGTTGTACGCAATATCAACATCTTCAGTGAACGGTATAAGCCCTTCGTCGCGAACGGCACCTAAGAGAGTTCCAAATGTCAATATTGGAGCAAATCCGACCGCTTTCAGCTCCTCAAAAACGTCTTTTAGAAGCAAATGTAGAACACTAGAAAAGCACTGCTCTTTGGGTGACTGCCATAAGAAAATATCCATCCGATCTGCATGTGCACAGCGCGACATATCCTTCTGGCCTGATATTGGTAAGCAGTAGCTAAATCCACGCTCTTTACGGTCGTTCGCGCTGCACAAAGCTTCGTGATCGCCTTCAAGTTTGAGCTGAGACAATGGACTCAAATTTCCCATCATTGTGTAAAACTCGCCACCGAGGCCATCTTCGATCACTTTAACCGTCTCTGGCGCACAGCCTGATGGTACGTAAGAAGTATTTAGTTCCTTCATCTCGCTCAACATAGAACTTTTAGTAAAAGAGACTGCACCAGTTTCCCTTTCACTAATTGGATCGTCGGCTTCATTATTTGGTGTGAGCGTTATTTGTGGCCCTGTGAACATAGTCTGATTTGGATCGTAAAGAGTTGAAGCAAGCGGATGAATCGGAGCTACACAGACACGCCAATCGTCTTCACCAAAAAGGTGATAACCCTTTCGAAGCAGCGAATGTTTCAGCTCATTTCGATTGACGAGTAATGCATTGTATGTGATGCTGGTATTATTGGTCGAGATTTGATCTTCTTCACTTTTATATTTGACGACAGACTCTCCGGCAGCTCGCAGTTCGTCAAGAGTATCTAAAACGAGAAGGTCTAACACACTTTCGAGGCATAATGTTGTCGGAGACTGACGTACCAGCAAATCGATGCGATTAGCTCCAGCACAAAACTCAGCATCATTGCGTACAGAAATAGGAAGACAGTACGGAATCTTTTCATCATCACTCTCGTTCTCGTCACATAAGACCATGTGGTTGTTATGAAATATAGGGGGTGGCAGTGTTTCCATTGTCTGTAGCATCGAGTAATATCGATGACTAGAGGAGTATTTGATGTCTTTTGCGTCCAGTACCTTCGGTGAGCAGTTTCCATCCAAGGTCGATTCGGCTTTAAGAATGTTGGAGACAACCTCTCTTGATTCAACTTTGCTTGTAGCAATAACAAGGTCTATGTGTGGTATGGAGCTTGTTTCGTTTACTAAAGTTCGATCGGGGTCATACAAGTGCAAGGCGAGCGGGTGTGTGGGTGCCACACACACGAACCAACCACTTTTATCTTGGAACATGTGATAACCTTTTTTTGAAAGTTCAACGCCTAATTTGTCCTCTGGAGTGATTTCACCGTTGTACATGATTGTCGAAATGCCATCCAGTGAGGTCGAATCCATATCTGTCCCGACTGTTGCTAAGCCATCCGCCGAAGACAAATTGATGCTAGGCGACGCTCCTGCTGCCTCAAGCTCTTCATACACATCTAGCAGCAGCATATGCATCACACACGAACGACACAATGTCAACGGCGATTGTCGAGCAAAGAGTTCCATTCGACCTAAGCCAGCACAAAACACCCGGTCCTCCTGAGTTGTGATAGGAAGGCAGTAGTGTGATTTACGGGTCTCACGATTTGCGTCGTCGCACAGTTCTGTATGCTCTTTACGAAAAATGGGTGGCTTCAAGGCTTCCATATCCTTTAATAAGGTGTAAAATCGGTCGTGAGAACGGTAGTTAACTGTGGAAGCATCAATTGTAACAGGACTGCATTTCAGATCAAAGCTGGCCCAGCGAGGGAAGACGTGCAATTCTGTTATAAAAATGATAATCGCAAGTACAACAAAGATCAGAAATCCGAATGCACTCTTGAACCATCGCGTTTTCGTCTGCAAAAGAGGCTTGTTCGATGTTGTGTCGGTGTTGCAGTCGCTTTTAAATTCAAATTGGTGGACTTTAAAACTTTCAGGAAGAACGGCTACTTCTGCGCCTCTTATGGGCGACATCGAGTTTGCAGGTGTCAAAATGTGTTTTCTTCATTAGTGTTGGCAGCAGATACGTGTGCGATCCCATATGCGCAGTTAGACAATAATGGAAGTAAAGATCGTAACGATGGCCTAAAATAACTTGATAACGTTTTGTTAAACTAGTAAACAGGCATTGCCATACTGTTTTGATGCCAGCCAGAATTTGCAATCAGTGAGTAATCAATGAATGCCTAGTATGCCTCTTGTCCATTGCGGCTTCAACCTAGTCAAAGTAACTTAAGCACTTTGTCAAAGTGATAGCCGCTTTTTCAATGGCAAGAACAACTTTTACGTAATTTTTCCATATATTCATACCAGCAGCAAATGATTCTCTCATACAGACAAGTAAATAGAGCCAGAACCTTACATCCAAATACAGGATGTTTACCCAGTGACTGCTTCTCGACGACCTGACTTATCTGTACATGCAAGTGCTAAACGGAGCTTGTTAAATGTAAATTTTACAGTAAATTTATTTTCTAAGTTTAATTGTCAGAATAGTTTTCGATTTTAATTTAAGGAAAATATTGTCTGAACGATATAGCAATTTTTTCTTGCCACCAGAGCTTGGATAAAAAAGCACTTCTTTACTTTCCACCGTACGTATATCTATCTATATCTTTGTTTTATTGAGCTGATACCAGATATATAGGCTTATGGTGTAGAATGGAAAACAAGACGTGAGACAAATAGCCCAGGTGTCCCATGGACTTATCAATCAACGACAGTATAAAATTTACATATCACTGTTGTGTAATTGCGATTATTTAGAAAACACAAAAGCAGTACAATTGTACCAAAACTATAAGTTGTAAGTACGTACGATTGTATTACACATGTCCCAACCTGACGTGGACCACACTAGGTATTCAAACATTGCGCAAAAGTGAAAACTACTGCAATGAGACTTCTACTTCACTTCTTGCACCCAAGATTGCAGCTCCGACGAGCTTGCTCGAATCGAGACTTATCTCATTTATGTATCGCTGATCCAATGAGAAAGACACGATCCTTGCGGCCAACGATCGGAAACTATATTGGTGGGTTTTTGATGAGAGTGGTTGCAACGACAGGCCGAAGCTTAGATCGACATCGCTACCGTCACTGGAAAATACAGCATACGTCACAGCCATTCACAAAAAGAGGCGTTCCTTACGCTCTCCAATTCGCGGCTCAATTTTCGCACCTTTGCCCATGTTCTACATTGGAGGGAATTTAGACGCCCCACCCCGGGCTCAAAACGTCAACCAGCTCGTTCTTAGTCAGCTAGTTCTGGCTCCGAGACAGAAGCTTGCCCGTTTGTATGCGCAAGATCTGATTTTTTTTTGTCTTCTCAACCGCGTCGTAATGAGAAATTAAATCTATATTGCATTTCTCACTGCGCTGGGTGATCATCTTTCCCGCTTCCGTGTGCAATCCTTTCTTACAATTTTACTTTCGCTTGAAATTCGCTTTTGATGAAGCCTCGATCTTGTAGGCTGAGGTCGTTGTCAAAAGCCAACACGTCTACTTCAATCGGGTATGAAGGCTTGAATTCCTTCCATTCACCATCCACCATGTCACTTTTTGCCCAAAATCATTCCGAATTAGATTCACCTATGATGTGGGAAACGCAACGAACCCGTAACGTCGCACTGTGACTTTTGTTGTGACCCCTCAGGTCTGCACTAATTAGGAGGTTTGCCTGTGCTTAAAATCGCATTGATCGAAAAATCTATAGTCTTCAAGAGGTTAAAACCTCTTGTACCAAGAAATGCTACCAGGAGTGTAATGCTTGACTTTGATATGTGGAAGCACGAATTGGACATTGATAACTTATGCTAAAAAATTAAGCTCATGAGCTTAGCCTAAGTTATTGTTTCTATTAGTCCAGCTCATCTATGTAAGACAGCCGTTACAGCTTCGGCCTGGTCTCGAGCTTAGCACGAGTCCGGTTCACACAAGCTGCGTTGCGCTGGGTGATCTTGTCTCTTCTCCTCGGAAAACAAACTTTGTATGTGTGCGAATTTATAAGTATCAAAGCATTTTGCCAAGATTTGATCGTCAACAAGCATTACTTTTTGAATAAGTAGCATTCTATTTGCTCACTTTATTGCTAGCACCCTCGGCGCAAGTCGCTGACTCACAGACCATTCCTTGTAAAAGTAAACCACCTCGAGATTATTTATCAGTGAAGTCGAGAGATAGAGGAACGGACTCGGTGAGCGCAAGGTTCGAGCAGGGCTCACGTCGCGCCGTTGGCGCACCTCGTCTTCCTCGTCTTTCTATGCTGGAAAAGGAGTATTTGACTCGTAGTTGACTTCCTCCGAATCCTCAACAAGGAAATCCGTCGCCCAGGGCAGGCACGGTGTGTCGCGCTCGGTTACCGAAGGCTTAAGATCTGCTTCCTGGGTCGTACTAACCGGAGATGCACCGTGTGCAGAAGACGAAGAAGGGCTTTGCCCGCGTCCGCCCTCGGAGCCAGCCAGACTTGTTGGTTTTCATGTCATAGCCATAGAATCATTGAACGGAGAATGCTCATAGATGTTATTAGGGACGTAGTGGTGTGTCAGACACGCCAGCCTCGTATGAGGCGACAGTTAAATGTAAGTTGTGGATTTTTACAATTTTGATGAGGAAGAGTGAAGCGAGGTTAGCATACCCTTACATGAATGGGCGGGTCGCACAAGATGGTGTGATCGTACATAGGTGTGGCTTACACATCTTGGTGTGATCACTCAGTGGTGTGGCTACACCGTAAAAATAAGCCACTTACGTGGCAGGAATACCAGTAGTAATGCATAGTAATTAAGTTTTACTATACTAATCAGGAAACCTCAATGTTTAAGATATTGGCGGCTCTGCCACAACTAAACATTCTAATACAGTTTCGGTTTTGAACGAAAGAGCGGCTTTACCTTGGTTACGGATTTGAGTACTTGGAGGTAGCGGATTGCGATTCTCTACACTTGAACCGGTTCTTGTACAGACGTAAGGTCGGTGGGAATAGCTTAGCTTCCTCTAATCGAAGAGCTGCGGCATCCCACTGCATCGAATAATAGGGGCTTCGTGGTTAGTTTATATTAACCGAGAAGATGAATCATCTCATAAATGTTAGCAATACTATGACCGGTGAGGATTTCGCCGAGCTGCCCTCTTCAGAATTTTTCTCTAACATGTCATGCGGTGGCTGTTGGTCCCTATCAAGACCCACGTTTTATATTAAATTTCCAATGACATTTGTTCGAGTTGTATCATACTAGATTGGACAAGTACGCTGATGACATCCCCAAGCAAAACAGGTGGACCGAACGCGTTAATCATGTGGTGGAGGATTTTTGCTGAAGCACTTGCAAGGAGAGACTAAGGTGTGAACCAGATTACCTCACCTCGTAAATTTTTGACTGACATCAAGTGCTTAATTGCTTCACGGATTTTATTTACTTTAGTCCGTTACAGTCGCAAAGAAGGGTTACACATTCAGAATTCCAGATAAAATGGAAAAAAATACTTTTAAAACCGTATCACGACGACATTGATATCTTGGGTTAACGTATCTGTCAAACGCATAGATGTTTAGAGCGAGTCGACGTGCCATCATAACCAAGAGTCCTAATTAGAACAGGCAATAAGAGGCTTGTTTCCACCGATGGTGTTATTGCCAATCGCCTCGACGAGGCACAGGAGCAACAGTTGAATGCTACCCACAGGGCGGCTCTCATGCGCACGTATCCACGTTAGTGGACGTGCGCGTAGAAGGCCATGTCCGATTTGCCAAAGGCGCAACGCGAACTTATACGCTCCGCGGGCTATGTGGGTTCTCACGTCGGTGGGTCTACGAACACAGCTGCTCAGGTCATAACTTGAGCTCAGCTCATGGCCCTGTCGCTTCCCGGGCTACCGCCGAGAAGCGCGGGGCGCCGACGACGCAGGCGCACGACGACGCAAAACGTCATGATCCTTTTGATCATATGCGTCCACGACGTCTGGGCAGTCTTGCCGAAGTGGCACCTCAAACTTCCACGAGTTCTTTGGTCTGGAGATCCTCGCCACTTCGCAAGATATTGGGTTCGACTTTGTCGACGACGTCGACCGACAAGGCGTTCCACGAGATAGTGGGCGCCACCATTCCCATCTCATCGAGAAGAGCCGGCTGCGGGAGATGACAACTTGTTCGATCGCCGTCAGTGACTCGCGATGATCTTCGAGCTTTGGAGGTAAAAGTCCATCATCATCGGCACTCTGCCGAGCATCTTGCCAAGGTCGCATACCGCGGCGCGGAAGACCTCGAGAGCTTAGAGCACTTTGTGTACCGACTGCCCCACGTTCAGGACTACCGTGCTCTGTCGGAGCGGCTCTTAGCCGTCAAGCAGATGAGCACGTCACTTCGTGTGACGGTAGGGCGCCTTGCGCCGTCGGAAACAGAAATTGTCGCACTCCGTGCCCAGACCAGTTGCTGGTCCAGCTTCTGGGTGGCCGAGCGCCTTGGACGCCGCCCCGGCGTTAACGCTTTCGAGTCACTTGCGCTGGATATTGGTACCGCTTAAGGAAGCCCACATAAAACACCGGGTGGGTGTGCATCCTTCTCAGAAGGTTCATCGTATACACAAGGCCTCGCTTGGCCACCACCTTAAATGATTCAATAAATCATGGATTTGTCGTAAAGGCAGCAGAGACTACATGTACAGAAACGTTTTTAGCACTTAATACAACCAGGTCTCTGACCTCAAAGGTTTTAACATTTCTTCTGCTCCTTCCGTCTGCATGTATTCCTTTTGCATGTCTTGGCTTTCAGCCATCGCGTCGCGAACGTCTCGTAGGACGCTCAACCTGATAGACAGGAAGTCATCGACTTTTTTACGGACAGTGAGGGGCTAACCGTTTCGCTATTTGTTCTCCACCAAGCCTTGAGCCATGGGATGGCGATAATAGCGGTACGCGAGGATTGACAAGCCCTTTCACATAGAACGGCGTGTAGCCGGTAGATGAATGCACTGCATTGTTCAGAGCAAACGCTACCAGTGCCGCATGGCACTCCAGCGCTTCGGCGTCTCAGCGCAGACGCTGTGATGACCGTCTTCAGCGACGTGACTCACGCACTCAGTTTGACCATCGTTCTGTGGAAGTCCGCGGTTGACATAGTCAACTTGGTGCCCAGAACCCTGAAGATTGTAGACCAAAACTTTCCAGTGAAGCGTGGGTCTCTATCAGAGTCAATTGACTTCGGAGTCCGTGTTGTCAAAAGACACGATCGATAAATAGCGTCTATGAACCCACAGCGTCGATAGTGTCCGGCACTACCGCAAGATAAGCCATCTTGCTCAAACGGTCCACAAAGATCACCACATTCGTGTTGCCCGCCAACTCCTTCGGTAGATCAAACACAAAGTCCATACTCATGGACTGCTACCACCAGTAAATTGGCCAGCTGCTCCACTGCATTCATAGGTTTTCGCCCTTTGACACGTCTCATGCGCGCACACATATGTGCTCGTCCATTTGTACAGGTTGGGCCACCAGAAGTGGCAACTCACAGAGCTGACTGTTTTCTCACGACCGAGATGACCACTTAGTTGGGTGTCGTTGGTCTCATAGAGAGTATGGTACTTCAAATCCTTATCGTGAGTAAACACAATTCGTGATTATCCGTTGAGTCGGTGCTATAATACAGCAATTCGTTAGTCAACAAATATTGGTGCAACCGTGTGCGCAGTCGCAAAGACAGCTTCTTATCCGAGTTTAAAAACTCTTTTCTCCAGAAGCCCGTAGCAAGATACACACATACCATCACCCGCGTATGCGGCGCGGATCAAATCCGTCACTGACGACGTC